CCGCCGATTGCGGCTCTGGAGCAGGGGAGCCCGCCGATTGCGGCTCCGGGTCTGGAACTGGAGAGCCCGCCGATTGCGGCTCTGGAGCAGGGGAGCCCGCCGATTGCGGCTCTGGAGCAGGGGAGCCCGCCGATTGCAGCTCTGGAGCAGGGGAGCCCGCCGATTGCGGCTCTGGAGCAGGGGAGCCCGCCGATTGCGGCTCTGGAGCAGGGGAGCCCGCCGATTGCGGCTCCGGATCTGGAACAGGGGAGCCCGCCGATTGCGGCTCCGGATCTGGAACAGGGGAGCCCGCCGATTGCGGCTCCGGATCAGGAACAGGGGAGCCCGCCGATTGCAGCTCCGGATCAGGAACAGGGAGGACGACCGACCGCGTCCCAGGAGCAGGCCCACAGGAGACCGCCACCTGCGGCTCCTGGACAGGAACTGAGGAGCCCACCGACTGCGGCTCCACATCTGGAACTGGGGAGACCACCGACTGTGGTTCCAACTCAGAAAAAGGGGAGGCCACCGACTGTGGCTCCACCTCAGGAACAGGAGACACCACCGACTGTGGTTCTACCTCAGGAACTGGAGAAACCACCGACTGTGGTTCCACCTCAGGAACTGGAGAAACCACCGACTGTGGCTCTTCATCAGGAACAGGGGAGACCACCGGCTGTAGCTCCACCTCAGGAACAGGAGAAACCACCGACTGTGGCTCCACCTCAGGAACAGGAGAAACCAGCGACTGTGGTTCCATCTCAGGAACAGGGGAGACCACCCAAGGAGGCACATGTTCAGTCTCTGAGGTGGCTTGAGGTGTCTGCAGAGGGCTCTTGGCGGTTTGTGGCCTCTGCTGAGGGGCTCTTGGAGGCATATCTTCACCAACTCCACATTCTGAAGCCCTCTTAAGTTTCAACTCAGGGGTCTCTGGATGGCACAGGGCAGGCTCAGGGGTCTCTGGACGGCACAGAGCAGACTCAGGGGTCTCTGGACGGCACAGAGCAGACTCAGGGGTCTCTAGACGGCACAGAGCTGACTCAGGGGTCTCTAGACGGCACAGAGCTGACTCAGGGGTCTCTGGACGGCACAGAGCAGACTCAGGGGTCTCTGGACGGCACAGAGCAGACTCAGGGGTCTCTGGACGGCACAGAGCAGACTCAGGGGTCTCTGGACGGCACAGAGCTGACTTAAGGCGACGCCTTTTCTTACGCCGAGGGGTCTTTGGAGCTAAGCTAACTGGTTTACTAATTGAATCTGGCGACAAATTACCCGGTTGAAAAATAAGAGTTCCAGAACGGATTACAAATTCAGTGGTTAGTGAATCGGGCATGGGAACGGATTCAGGAACGAAAGTGACAGGTTCAGGCGTCTGATCAGGCTGGCGGGGAAGTCTAGTAGTTTGAAATTTAACTTGTGGGCCTAATTTGAGTCCTTTGACAGACGGAGCTAAGTGAGGGTCGAGTATATGTGAGCAGAGACTAACCTGGCGCTGAAGGGAAATGGATCTGGTTTGTAGTGCTATGTCTAACCCAATGGCTAGTTCTATGAGGTACTCAAGGTTAGCTGGCTCGACGTAAAATGAAAGCTCGTTTCTGACGGGTTCGTTCAGAGCTAAGAGATAAGTGGTCTTGAGCGCAGACTCGTTCCACCCAGAAACGGCTGCTCTTTCCTGGAACTCAGAAGAAAACTCGGCAACGGATCTATTTCCCTGTTTCATTTCGAATAGTCCACTAGAAACACAGGATTTATTTGTGACCTGATTAAAAGTCCTTTCAAACTCCTGGATGAATTTCTGATATGTACAGTTTATTCTAATTTTAGGTGGAAATCTGGTCTCCGCCCATTCAAGGGCTTCACCAGACAGAAAAGAAACGACAAAAGCTATCCTATCCTTATCATAAAGAAAACTAGAATTGTGAAAACCAAAAAACAACTGACACTGAAATAAAAATCTCCTGAGCTTACTTGGATTGTCGGAAAATCTCTCAGGCAGAGAAGGGCTGAGTGCAGAAAACGACGGACTGGGTTCTGACCAGAAAGGAGGATTATTATCTTGACTGGGAAGTGACGTCATTGCCGGTGACCTAGGAGACGGAAGTGAATTCGGAGCAGGACGTGCCGCTGACGTGGCGTTAGCATTATCCAAGCGGCTAGCGAGTGTTTGATTCAGCTGTAACTCACGGAGGGTTTGTGAATGTCCATGGATCTGAGCGTCCCGTTCCTCAATCCACCGACGGAGGTGATCTGCTGGGCTTTGTGTTTGGCTGCAGTGTTCTGTCATGATGGGTATCTGAATTAAGCCCAAAATGCAGAACACACACGGAAACTGGGTAAAAGTTCAACAGAGTTTATTATGGAACACAAGCACACGATAAAGAATGAGTTCTGGAACAGGTTCAGGGCTGGTTCACTAAAGTCTTGACTGGGACTGGAGACTGTTGGTTAGCAGAGTTCATGGGAAGCTAAGCATCTAGCTTCAGGCTTAGCATGGCAGACCTTGATCTGAGCTTCCAGCTCACTGCAGAGAACAACAGGGAATATCCACATAGGATTCTTCAGGGTGATTCCACATAGGAACCTTCAGGTTGGCTCACCAGGGCAGATTAGCAGGTTAGGCTCACCTAGAGCTTCAGGCTTGAGACTGGTTTCCTGTGATACAGCTCTCCCAGAGCTTCAGACCAGAGACAGGTTTCCTGTGAGGCACAGACAAAGGAGAGATTAGAATCTGATCTCACACTAGAGGCAACTAAGATTCAATCTGTAACAGAGGCTTAGGAAGCTAACCAACTAAGATCAACACTGCGGTGTGGAAGCAAGGTCTGGCAGGAGCTTATAAAGAGGAGGTCTCCTGATGAGAGGATTAACAACAGGTGTGCAGGAAGACTCCAGCCCAAGGAGACCCACGGCGCACTCTGCTGGAGACAGAGGGTAATCTCCAGATCCCAGCAGTAACTCCAGTCCTAATGGAAAGAAACAAACAACAAAAGGGGATCCTGGGCGCCCTCTGGTGGGCAAGCCTGAGGATCCTAACAGATCTGTTGTTACTATATTTTAATCTGACAAACCGGATCTTCTCGCCGTTCTTTTTCGTGTTTGGTGCGATTGCAGTAGAGGATCCTGACCTGGCCGGACCGGAGCGGAGCCTGAACATTTAGAGGATGTTTGGCTCAACCTGCTGCTGTGAAGCAGGATTCTCCACCATGAACAGAATCAACAATAAATCTGGATCCAGGCTCAGAATGAGCTCCTTGATAATTGATTGAGAATTCAATGTTTAACATGAATGCATAAACACCTCATTTTATGTCAGTGTTAAATTCTGTTTAAGGTAACAGATCATTAAAAATGTCTGCGGATCTTTACTGGTTGAGGATTTTCTTTATTCAGACCCTGATGATTTTTAATTGGTTCCCCTGGTTTAATGTTTCTAAATCTCTATTTCCCGTCATGTGCTCCATCCAATGCAGATCATTGGCTCCACCCACATCTAGTGAAAACTAGTGTGATTGGATGAGTCATAGAACGCAAACACTCATTGGTTAGCTAAAGGAAACCATCAGAAGCTAGCAGGTGTTCTTCAAACTGCTAACGTGAATTGTCTATGCCATGCTACAATGTGGGATTCAGAAAAAGATGTTGAAATGTCTGAAAGGTCGGACACAGGCGAGAGCGTATCGGGAGACGGAGACCAACCAGACCTCCCTCATCCTTGGCCCTATCTCAGAGAATTTATAGAAATAGTCCAAAATTGAGCTTTCAGTTCATATAGCGGCATCTGGCTGTTTTTTTAAACGTTACTTTATACTTTTATACTTTAAGTAGTTTTTGGAGCGCATACTTTTTCAGTTTTACTTGAGTAAAGAGGTCAAGTTGATACGTCAACTTTTACCAGAATGTTTTTAAACTGCAGGATCTATACTTCTTCTGATGTAACAAATGTGTGTATTTTTGATGCCACTGGTACCAGCTTTAAATATTGACTATATCTCTGCTGACTACCTATTAACAGAATCAATGAGATAAGTGTTGTTACTTTAGACCTGTCCTATCAACTCCCCCATGCATAGCAGTCACTGCAGTGGACATTTAAAGCCATTTTATTTGTATAGCACATTTCAGCACGCGAACAAAGCATAAGAAAGAAAAAAATTGAGGACAGCATGATACTGTGCCCTAATAGAGGCAGGTGAAGAAAAATTGCAATACAAACACACAAACTAATAATGTTGTGTCCCACAGCCATGAGAGAACCATCACATGGGTGGAATAATGAACATGGATTAGACAATACTGCATTATTGTTTTCAAACAAAAGCTAAAATCCTTTCTGAAAAATGAGGAGCTTCCAAGAACATCATGGAACGCTGGGGTCATCAGTATAGAAACTCTTTGTCCAAACAAATAAGTCTCAATTCTATTCAGTTTATTTCTATAGCTCCAATTCACATCATGTCATCTCAGGTCACTTTCCAGTTCACCAGATCATCCAGTCAGATTGATTCAAAGTTTTCTATCTAAGGAAAACCAGCTGATTGCATCGACTCATTGACTCTTCAGCAATCCCTCACACTAAGCATGCTTGTAGCGACAGTGGAGAGGAAAAACTCCCTTTGAACAGGAAGAAACCTCCAGCAGAACCAGGCTCAGTGTGAGCGGCCATCTGCTGAGGCCCACTGGGGTTCAAGGAGACAGAAGCAGACATAGAAAAAGAAGCATAGATACAAAAGGCAACTGTCAACCAGCTCCACAGGCGGCCCCGTCCAGGAAACACACAGCCAGGCAGACGAGCTCCGAGCCAGCTCCCATGTCAGAGGATGAAGAGAGCACATCCAGTTAGTCACAGTTTATTACTCATTCACCTTTAGAGGAGGTTTTATGGGAATGATAATGATAATCTACCAAAAGGGCACTTTTGGGCAAGAAGCAACCCCAACACACCCCACCCCCATCCACACACACACTGCATGTGTATTCTATAGTTTATTTTTAAAAAAAAGTCACTTTCTAAAATAGCAATACATAATGCAGTTTACTTTCACCTAATTTTTGTTGACAATCTTTATAAAGAAAACTCTTTTGATTTACATGGTGAAAAGCAGATGACCACTAAAGGTGGTATGATGATCTGGATTGTCATGAATCCAGGAGTTTGCCCGCATACGCATAAATACACTATCCCCAACATTTAACAGCGGTGTGACTCCATTAGAAGTCTTCTGACCACCGGAGGGCTGATTTTCATATGTTGCAATGATTTCCTCTCCATTTCGGACCAAAACAGCCGATGTTGGGCTTGAAGAACTTCCATGCCCATATAAGTGAAACTCAAAGTGGTAAACTCCTCTCACTGGTGCAGTGAACAGTCCTGTGGAGCATAAACAGAAATATCAGCCTCTTCTAAGCTTTTCTGTCTTTACAAATAAATGTAAAATATCCAGCGAAAATCTGAGCACCTGTACTTGGGCTGTAGGCATTTCCAATATTAGTTACAACATGCCCAAAGACCAGAGTTGTGTGTGTATTGAATGGTCCAAAGTTTCCTGAGCCTGATGTAAACAAAGATGCTGAGAAAGCCAGGCGTTTTACTGAAAAGAAGAGATAGATACCAGATAAATGTAGCATCAACAAAAATAAACATTAAACACATCTAATATTTTCTAATGAGCCTATATGCATGAGAACAAAGACATGCAAAAATATCCCTCTAGAAATCTAAGAAAAAGTAGAAAAGCATATGATATTATTATGAAACACTCTCTTTGGCTCCCAGTTCAATTCAGAATTCAATTCAAAATCCTTCTCTATACTTTCAAAGCCATCCCTAACCTTGCTCCTTCATATCTGTCAGACCTCCTTCACATTGCCACCTCCTCCCGCTCCCTTAGATCCTCCTCCTCCATCCACCTCACTGTACCCCCAGCTCGACTTGTCACCATGGGGAGCAGAGCCTTCAGCCGCTCTGCTCCCCAGCTCTGGAACTCACTTCCTCCCGACCTCCGCAGTATTTACTCTCTCCCCTTATTCAAAGCCAGACTCAAAACCCATCTGTTCCAGCTCGCTTATCTGTGAATACACTGCTCTTTTCCCTATCCATAATTTGTTTTTTGTTCTCTGTTGTTTTATGTTCCTGTATCTGTATTTTGTATTTTCATCGTCTTTTTATTTATTTTTTGTATTATTTGTAAAGTGACCTTGAGTGTCTAGAAAGGCGCTGTTAAATAAAATGTATTATTATTATTATTATTATTATTATTAAACAGGCTAACCTGTCTCCAGGATGGAAATGCTGCTAACATGCATCGCTTAAGTGTTAATTTCACAATATTCGGCCAAACAAGCTAAATTAAATTTATATAATGTTCTTTGTATTTAAGGACCAGATGTACAAAGCATGCATATGCATAAAATATTTTATGTTCCACTTGGCATGTACATAAATTAAGTTACAAATCAATTAAGTTAAATCAAAAAATACTTTTTACAAATACAAATTAATCCAAAGGGAACTTAGATATTGCAGTAACTCTTAGTTTTGTAAGTGTTAATAGCTGTAGGCAGGAAAGCTCTTAAGCAGCAGTCTGTCTGTCTTGCACTTGATCTGGAGAAGCCTGGAGGCAGAGATCAGACTGATAGAAGATCTGAAGCCTCTGAAGGACCTCAGCTTCCTCTAGAAGTCCAGTCTGCTCTGTCCCTTCTTGCAGACGGCTTCCCAGGTGTGTCTCCAGTCCAGGTTGTTGTCCAGGTGAACACCAAGGGATTTCTACTCCTCCTCCACTTCTTCTAACAGGATGTTAACAGCATTCAACTTGTTCTGAGAAAATATGCACTAGCAACGCAAACCTTTAAAATTAAGAAATAAACTATAGAGCCCAAAAACTCACCCAATCACAATGACATATGATTCCATTAATATTTTTCATAGAGCTAGCCAAGATCTGGACGATTGGCTAATAGTTGACCAACTTCTAGAGAAAACAGATGGTGACCAGCTCAGGGATAAACTGTTGCTAGAGTCAGACTCCATGATACTAAAGGAAGCCAGAGGTCTGCAGGTCACAGCCCTGACCGTTACCCGATTCCTTCACCCCCCCACCATGGACTGTTCTCCCTGCTGCCCTCTGGGAAGAGGCTTCACAGCGTTCAACGCAGGACCAGCAGGTTCTGCAGCACCTTCTTCCCTACCACCATCACACTGATAAACTGTTGAGACTCTAAATCATGTCAGACTTTGCATCACACTGACCATATTGATCACTCTTTGTATACAAAATGACTAAGTCTAAGTCCTTGGTGAATGTTGAACAGTTGGAAACTGCATAAATTTAATTGTCCGTGTTTGACCACATTGTGTATGATCCTGTGACATCATCATCGCCAGCAGTTCAGAACATTACTCAAGTGACTGCTGAGGCTGCCAGGTTAGTGACATTTTGGATGTACAGAGAGTAGAAATGGGGCCCAGGGAGATCTGCAGTTGCTCTTCCAAGTATGCAAAAAGAGCTCAGTAATGCCCTGCTCAGGGTAAACACTGTCATCACTGCAGTACTATAAATTAAACTATTTTTCCTGCTGCTGTCATTCCCCTCCATTCTGTCACTGCTGCTGTTCACATTAACTCAATATGCAGTTTGCAGCCCACTCCAAGTGGATAGAGGGGCAAAATTGTAATTCCTTAAGGAAAGCACAAAGCGTTTCTTCAGTCATGTTGCTCTGGAGGAAACAGCTACACCTCAGGCTACGGGCTTTTTCCCATTTCAGCTCTAGGTGTGGCCCGCCTCTGCGACAGATATGATCTCCACTGTGACCCGGGGTTTCAATTCATTCTGTCACTGCTGCTGTTCCAGTTCCCTGCTGTAAGTTTATTCTGACTGATGCCAGAGGTCTGCAGGTCACTGCTCTGACCCTTATCTGCATCTTTTTGAGGTTTTGCAAGGCCCACATGCTCTGTCGCTGCAAAAATCTTTTGAAAAAAAAGTTAAGATTCCTTATGTCTTAATTCTAGGCCCAGGAAGTTGGAAGTTTGTAGCTCAAAAGCTCTAGGAGGAGTTGTCTCAGATACAATATTTGAATCTTTTGAATCAAATCTAATTGATGACTTTGATTCAAAATGGCCGACTTGCTTTGGACCATGGCTCCAAGAGACTGTTTTGTAGGTTTCGATGGGTTACATATTGGAAATCCCAAATTTCATTGTCACTAAAAGCATGGCCTGGGGCTTATGTTTTGTTTTATGGCAAACAGACCACATTTGACGCTTAGCCCCGCCCACATCCTTTAATGTAGAAAAATTCCTTTGATAACTTTTGATCCCAATGCCTGAAGTCAATGTGGAGTAAATTTGAAGTCTGTAACTCAAAAGTTGTAGGAGCACTTTGCTTAGATATGTCATGAAGGTAAAAAATTCAAATGACACCTTTCATTCAACATGGCCAACTTCCTGTTGGGTTTGGACCATGGCTCCAGGGGACTTTTTTCTAGGTCCTGAGGGGTTACACATGTGTACCAAGTTTTAATTTTTTAAATCAAAACATGGCCTGGGGCTTCCCTTTTGTTTTAATGCCAAATTGTTGAATTTAGCGATTGGCCACGCCCATATGCTTTTATGTAGAAAAATTCCTTTGCTAACTTCTGATCCACATTACCTACAGTCAATTTGGAGTAAATTTGAAGTCTGTAACTCAAAAACTCTAGGAGGAATTCGTTCAGATCCATCATGAAAGTAAAAAAATTAAGCGATTGCTTTGATTCAAAATGGCCAACTTCCTGCGGGGTTTGGAGCATTGCTCCAAGAGACTTTTTGTAGGTTCTGAGGGGTTACACATGTGTACCCAGTTTCATATGTCTCAGTTTTTTGTGGATTTATGTTTTGGATTTTTGCTTATGTTTAACTTTTGAATAATAAATCTTCAAGTAACCTCCTTCAGTTTCAATCTGCATTTGGGTCCTGTCAAACCACCAAACTTGACACCTTAGATAGAAAGCTTTAAATCAATCTGACTGGATGATCTGGTGAACTTGAAAGTGCCTTGAGATGACATGATGTGAACTGGAGCTATAGAAATAAACTGAATAGAATTGAGCTGCACCTAATAGGTCTTAAAATGTGCATACCAATCCCTCTGATCAGCTGAAATGCACCCCCTTATTGCATCTGCAAAGAAGTTATCATCAATAAAATTCAGCCCCCTTTAATTTGAAATCCATTGTTGGGCCATAAACCATTATATTAATTTTCATGTGTTTATTGCTGACAAATCACTGTTGCTTGCTTACATCCAATGAGTTCTATTATGTTCTAATCTAACCTAATAATCCTCTTACAGTATTACAGAAGCTACAGTACATTACATGACCACAAAAAATCGGACTGAAGGCCTGATCGGATTTAAAATGTTTCACGTAAACATGTCAGGCTAATTCCAATCTGATTTCGTCTGATCGGAAAGAAACTTTATTCCGGTTGAGAGAGGTGTTTCTCACACCCCTGTTCTCCGGCTGCCACCTGGAATCTGGGGCCTGGGGGAAGAGCGAGCCGCCTGGTCCCTGGTCTTGGCAGGCGGCTGTTGCGGGGCCTGGGTGGCCTGCCGATGGCGGGGCTGTCACTTCTGCTCTCCCCAAAGGAGGGTGGAGGGAGGGGCGGGTAGCAAATTGAGGGGAGGAAGTGGCTGGGTGAATTATTTAGGGTGGGGCTCTGGTTGGGTAGCCTGTGTGGGGTGTTTGGGCCCTGATCCCGGGGGGCTTTTGCTGGGGGTGGTCTGGTCCGGGTGCGAGGTGGGGGGCCGGGCTTGAAGCAGGAACGAGATGGGTTGACGTGGCAGTGTCACCACTCCCCCCCCCCATTCCGGATTTTTGGTTCACTTATTGGGTCATCCAATAATCCCGGGACCGACAACCGGTGCCACCGGGTCTTTGGTCCTGGGATTATTAGATGTGAGTGTTAAGTGTGAATGTTTGTCCGCACTTTTTTTTTCTCATCTTCACAGAGACAGTGTGGTGTGAGAGGGGCGCTAGGGTGGGAAGGCGTGATTGAGACTTTTTTTTGGCCTGGGCTCGCCGGTGCACTGGTGGAGCTCGGGGTTTGGGGGTGGATGCCCGGGTGGCTACAGGCTCATTCCTGGCAGCTTCTCCGTAGGGACCAGCTGGGGCTCCAGCTAGGGGGTGGGGTTTCCCCTCGGACCTCGGATCCATGGGGCTCATGGACGGAATCACTTTGGGGTGGCTGGCTGCCGGCGGAGCCCGCGGACTCGTCCCTGCGGCTTCCGGGGCTCCGTCATTGCGGTGGCTGGGGGACTTTCTCTGAGCGATTTCTCCTTCTCCCTTGGTGGGGGTCGGATTTCCTGGGTTGGCCCCTCCTTGGTGCCTTTGCTCTTGGGGTCTCTTTGGGCGTCTGGGGCTTTGGGGGGGGGTGGGGGGTGCCTCTTCACAACCACTATTGAGCATTTTTCCTTTTGATAAACTTTACATGCACAAGTGCATTCTCGTAATAAGCTACAGGTGTTTGGTTCCAGGAACTTAGAGATTCACTTCCATACAGAAAGCCCATATTCTGATCTTCAGGTAACACTTCAGTACATGTCAGATTAAATAATACTACTGATACTTCAGCGATAGTATTTAGGTGTTACTTTATTGTATATTTCGTACCGTGTCTTTCGGTTGTTCTGTTCTTTTTACATCTCTTTGCAGGTGATGAAACAGACTGAAGATGTTTTATCATTATCTCCCTTTTATCTCCTCTTTCTTTCATCTTTTCTCCTTTTTTTCCTGTTTTTCCTTTCCTTTTCTACGTACATTGCAGTGTCCATATAAACTGTAAAACTCCCTGCATAATTAGAATAAAGATGCTTATATGCTTAATTTAAGCGGAACACTATGGCGATAGCCGTACTGCTCCACTTGTGAAAGTAAAATCTGTTGGGCTATTTTTGGCATCAAAACAATTATTCTTATTCTGATCAATCAGGATTTCGAGACGTAACTAATGAAACGTAGCTAATGAGCTTCATTAAATGTTGTTTTGTTGTGAACCTGCACAGAGATGATGAAGTATTAGGGTATAGTTTGTGAAATATTATTGTTATAAGCAGGCTTGGACTGGTAATCTGTGATAGCGGGCATTAACCCGGTGGGCCGGTCCTAATTTCAGCGTGCGAGGGCCGGCCCTCCTTAAATCATACCGGCTCCAACACCTCCTCTCTAGCCGAAGCTCCTACCTGTGACAGTAAATAACTCAAGGAGCTAAAGAAGTAATCTAATGTTAACTACCTAAATGATGCATGCAGTATATAAAGCCCTTCCTTTATGCACATCCTTGTGACGGTCAGCATATGGTGTCATTTTCTATTTCTTCAAACTGTAAAATCCTTGCAACAATTGTGCATTGTTGTCAGGTTATAAGATTTGTCTTATAAAAAGAAGAAGGTTATAAAAAACCTTTTCAATAGAATCAACTGGTTCTTAACTCACAGAGCCAGACTTTGAAAGCGAGCAGATTTTTTGCTATTAGTGGGCGTGTCTTATTGCAGCTACTTCATTGGCTGAATCATTTCCTCATTTCCTGTCACTTTATTACACCTGATTTGCTGTTTGTTGCCAACATCTGATCTGTATATTATTGTAGCAGCCTAATCATATATAATTTTATAAAACAAGTGGAGATATGTGTATTTAATCATATAATTTTCTGCTTTAAAAGAAACACATTATAGTTTTTAAAATTTGTCTGTTATGAAGTTTTTACCACACATGAAAACATATTTTCCCTGGAATTTTCCCAGCAATAAACTATGATTATGATTGTAACCCTACTGATGTCCCCCCCAGACCTAAAATTCATGTTATATAAGTGAGACTTTCAGTGATAATGATCACAGACCTTCTCCGTCTCTCTGCAGAGCTTCCACATGGTCTGCAGTAACGTTGGCTTTGACTTTAACTGTGACCAGTTCTGCTGCCTGAGCTGAAATACAAAGAACAGTGTTTGGATGACTGACTCTGAGGTATTGCTTTGGTTTGCCTGTTATTCCACATCTAAAATGCATCATCATCATCATTACTTTATTAAAGGGCAACATCAAAGTGATGAAAATATTTCAATGTAGGTTTTCTTCACAGACCTTCTCCTTCTCTCTTCAGAGCCTCCACCTGGTTTTCAGTGATGTCCACCTTGGCTTTAACTGTCATCAATTCTTCTGCCTGAGCTGAAACGAAGAGATTAACAGAGATTAAAAAAATAAAAGGTGTCTATAGAATCAGCTTTAATGGCAGGTCTGTGTGCACAGAGCTAATTGATTCAGTTCTGATCTCTCACATGGTGAAACATCTCAGACAGACAGAATTAAGGCTCAAATGTGATAAAAAGGAAAAGACAGAATAATAGACTTAACGTGAAGCACATCTCTTTTTATAGATGAATGAGAATGGGTTTGTAATATTGCAAAATGCTTCAATTATTAATATCTGATTACCTGAATCTAATGTCTTCATTACATTAAGTAATAGTGTTGCTTGAATTAGTTAAAGGTACACTATGCAACCGGTGTTGATTTTCCAGTGAGGCTCCCCCCAGAGGGCAAAAGTAAAAGTGCACTGTCGTAAATATGCTCAGCTGTTCTCCTGGTTTCTCCGTCAAGCCAGGCGCGGTTGTTTTGAGCTTAGCAGCGAATGACTAATGCTGCGTTCACACTGGACGTAGCTGGCGCGACAGAAGCAGCGAGTTTACATGCAAAGTCAATGGTTGACGCGCGTCAAGGCGCAGCAAAAGGTCCCGCGGCGCGTTTTGAGCAGCAGGCGCAGCGCATCTGAGCAGCTGAAGCAGCGCGTCGGGCGCGTTTAACGCAGGGAGAGAGACACAGCGCTGATGATCACTACTCTTAAACAGTTTATTGACGCCTAAATTAACTTAAAATGCAGAAATCTGCCGGCAGAATATGCAGTTTGGATTATTTAGATGAAAAACACCTACCAGCTGCCGCCGTGAACCGCGAGGAGGCGACCCGGCCAGAGGCTGCTGATGAAGGGATTCCTACTGTCGGCGCCCCGCTGGTATGTGGGGGTCTGAGCGGCTCCGACAGAAAAAATATTGAAGGCAGGATAATAATCTGAATGAACTGACGGCACTGATTACGTTTTCAGGTGTATTTTCTCACTTAAAAACATATTAAGACTACTTTATTCCCACTGATCACAGCAAATATAGCTGCAAGGCAGAGAAAGGATAGTGAAGCTCCGCCCAACGCGCCAGACACACTTTTGCACCGCGCAGGCAGAGCAGCAAAGCTGCTTCAGCCACGCGTCAGAACTAACTGGTAGAAGCAGCAAAAATGAAGCAGCAGACGTGATTTTGCTGCTTTTGCTGCGTGAACGTAGCATAACTGCACAAAGATCGCCACTGTGCTAGCAACGAGAATGCTTTTAACTGGGGGGTGTAGCAGTTCTCGCCGTAAAGCAAGACTGACTCTCGCGAGACTTCTGAGCCTGTGGGTGCGGGTCGGTGCTCCTGCAATTGCAAGTGCAGTATTTCCCCCACAGACCACCAGGGCGGCCGAGAATACCTTTGTTCAACCTGAAATGACTCATTTAATCATCCATAACGTTATGGAACACATTAATTAACTGAAAAATGTTGCATAGTGTGCCTTTAAAAGAAATATGTCTTCAAGCTGAAACAGTTTCTGAACAAACTGGAATTCGTTGCCTTTTAATTATGTTTACAGAATATAGATTTTTTTTAAACGTTAAAATTTGTTCTATTTTAAACTTTCCACATTTTGAGACATAAAAATAAAACATATAATAATTTATAGAAGGCAATATTTCTCCTAGTAAACGTACCTTCATTATCTTTCTGCAGATGTCTCACCTCCACCCTTAGTTCAGCCAAGCAGGCGCTCATCTCTCTGAGGACAGCGTTGATGTCCTGGGTGCAGGTCTGCTGGGTCCCAGAGAGATGTTCTGCTTCTCCTACCTGTGCTGCAGGTGAAACGATGTCCTTGTCAGAGACAGTTTGAAGCTGAGCAGGACAGACAGAGCAGACTAAGAGCAGCAAAGGAAAAATCATTCTCGTTTCCATCCTGATTGTTGGTCTCTGCAGGTCGGCTCTACTGTTTAAGACCTAAGTGGCATCAAGCCTTAAATATTATATATATTTATTGCTGACTACTGATTAACAGCGTCTATTATCTAAACTACTGAGAAATCAATTGTTACTTCAGGCATGTCCTATAAAAATATGATAAACTTAGTGTTAGGAATGAATGTGTAACTAAACCATAAACCATCCAGGAAGGATTATGCTGCTATGAGACATAGAAACATCGATCAACTTCACCTTAACATTGTATTAAACTCTTCAGTTTACCAAAACACTGAAAATTCATTAATCTTGATTCCAAGTGAAAATGATTAAACCTGATGTAAAAACAAAGAGCCATGTTATAAATATGGACGACCAATATATATATATATATATATATATATATATATATATATAAATATATATATATATATATATATATATATATATATATATATATATATATATATATATATATATATATATATATATATATATATATATATATATATATATATATATATATAGTGTATATATAAAATAAACTGTTTTCTCACCCCTCGTGGGGTGGTATGTGTCATCCTGGGGTCCTCTACCAGAGGCCTGGGAGTTTGAGGGTTCTGCGCAGTATCTTAGCTGTTCCTAGGACTGCGCTCTTCTGGACAGAGACCTCTGATGTTTTACCTGGAATCTGCTGTAGCCACTCTCCCAGTTTGGGGGTCACAGCCCCCAGTGCTCCCATTACCACTGGCACCACTGCTGCTCTCACTTTCCACATCTTTTCTAGCTCCTCCTTCAGTCCTTGGTATTTCTCAAGCTTCTGGTGTTCTTTCTTCTTGATGTTGCTGTCGCTTGGGATTGCCACATCTATCACCACTGCCTTCTTCTGCTGTTTGTCGATCAACACGATGTCTGGTTGGTTAGCCATCACCTGTTTGTCAGTCTGGATCTTGAAGTCCCATAGGATCTTAGCTCGGTCATTCTCAACTACCTTAGGAGGTGTCTTCCATTTTGACCTTGGGACTTCCAGCCCATACTCATGGCAGATGTTCCTGTACACTATGACAGCTACCTGGTTGTGGCGTTCCATGTATGCACTTCCTGCCTGCATTTTACACCCTGCTGTTATGCGCTGTATTGTTTATATATATATATATATATCCAAGTTTTCTGCTTGGGGGGGGCATGAGTATGAATTCAGAGCTAAACATCCAGATGTTAACAGATGAATTCAGAGCCAAACATCAGGATTGTGTGAGAACAAAGCCAAGGAGCTGCCATGGAGGGAAAGGAAGGAAAGTCTGAGCGTTAGAGGAGCTTTGCTGAACAACCATCAATTTTCTGTTCCACACCTTATTTCTATAGTAGGATTAAATAGTTTTTTTTTTTTCATTTCACTCCATAAAAGGTTTTCTATAGAATCAGTACCAGCTTTGATGGCCAGGTTTGCACAAATATTACATTAGATGCAGTTTTCCATCTCTCACATCATAGTTAACAGTTCCATTAACAGTCGAAAAAAAGTCTTTAAAAGATGTTTCGACCTACAAGCTTTTCTCCCATGAAATACAAAACAGCACAAATAATGAATTAGCTAACAAACTGATGTCCGTCCTTCAAATATTTGTAGATACCTTTATGTAGAAGTCTGGTATTATTCAGTACCTCTGAACCGCAGGTTTATATTACATTCATCACATTACATCTTCATGCCCTGCGATGGACTGTCCAGGGTGGACCCCGCCTCGCGCTCATTGACAGCTAAAGATGGACACCAGCAACCCTCACGACCCCACTTGGGATTAAGCGTGTTAGAAGATGGATGGATGGATATTACATCTTCATTCAAAGATGACCTAAAAAAAAAACATAAGGTCAGATCAGATTTTTAATAATACTTCTAGTGCTAATTAGCAAACATCAATAATAATTATTTAAATATGCTAAGCCCATCTCTCTATAGAAGGAAATTTCACCATTCCCACTTTTCCACCATTGGAACAACATAGCTGCAAAGGGACGACAGGGAACTGTTTTCAGAATGGAGAAGAAGAGCTTCTGTTCAATGCTGACTGAGAAAGTGACAACTGATGGTGAGATTATTGGGAAATTAAAGAAACATTCAATGGCTGGATTGATCCTTGCAATATCTTCCATTTTTAAAATGTGTGGTTCATAAGCTAATGTAAACACAATAACGTAATAATTTGCATTGAAAGTGTCTTTATTGAGGTCAGAACAGCTAAGAAGATGGGCTCTGAACCAGAAAGATTGCATTCAACCAGTGAATGCTAATCTGCAATGAAGCTGATTTAGGAGGTGGTGCAGACAATGCTGTTCAAATCAGGATTTTCTTTTTGGTCCTCAGATTATAAAAACCTCTGTCTTAAATTCATACATTACTGGGCTGCATCAGGTTTTCTCATATAAATAAATGCTGCTCATGTTATATGTTTGTTCCTAAAGCTACATCATCAGAGGAAGACATCTTTCCAGCCCATTCTAACCTTGACACAGCTTTTCCACTCAATGATTAACTTTCCAGACAATCTGTTTCCTTATAGTTTAGTATAACCAATAAAAGTAGGTCAATAATCTTTTTTTTATAGCCACCGCTAGAAGTAAAAAAATATCTGGCTCAGCATTATCTTTATTTTCAAGAAGTGCACTACAAGGTTTGCTAATAATAGAAGGATATAAAGGAAAAGAACAAGGATTTTACTGGTTTGGGTACAGAGGTCAGTTTCACCAGGCAGGTTTAACAAACTTAGACTCAAATCCTCAACTCTAAATAATCGCGCCTTATGCTGGAATCTCTGAGTTTTCTGGTTCATAAAAGCTGCTGTGAATAAGTTCAATCAACTCTAAGTAGGTCCACTTAGAGTCAAATGCAGGCGTAACAAATTTAAAAAGCCATTATCAGTGGACCCTCTATTCAAGGACACACCATGACAACAGGCAACAGGAAGTGCCTATTTCACCTCCCTGGAGCTAGTGATTTTATGAAGAAATAAAAGAAAAAATAGAAAATTGTGTTTAAGACAGATAAACAGTTCTACAGCTTCAAAAGAGACGAAGATGGCCGAGGAGAAGATTGTTGCTGAGTTAAAAGGGCAGGCAGTTTAGCATTTAATGAAAGCACTCTCCTCTCTGTCGTTCCATTTTCAGACACTAAAATAAGATTCTTCTTGATCAAAATTACTTTCCTGGACTGAACTATAATAATAGATTTTCTAAATTACATTTGAAAAAGTAAGAATTAAGTTTTATATATCTAGAAATGTTTACACATTTAAAATGGCCATTTTGACATTTATCAGCTTGACTGAATATTTTTTTATGATATCTGAAATAAAAAGTTTTATAGTTAAAATAATACAAATGTTGACCAGTAATATTAGGAATATGGAGATCTGAAAGTAATTTCTAGACATCTAAAATGTTAATTATAGATATAAATAAATTTTGTTTAAAATGGTCATTTTGGCTAGGAAAAAAGTTTTTAAAGGTACACTATGCAACCGGTGTTGATTTTCCAGTGAGGCTCCCCCCAGAGGGCGAAAGTAAAAGTGCACTGTCGTAAATATGCTCAGCTGTTCTCCTGGTTTCTCCATCAAGCCAGACGCGGTTGTTTTGAGCTTAGCAGCGAATGACTAATGCTGCGTTCACACTGGACGTAGCTGGCGCGACAGAAGCAGCGAGTTTACATGCAAAGTCAATGGTTGACGCGCGTCAAGGCGCAGCAAAAGGTCCCGCGGCGCGTTTTGAGCACCAGGCGCAGCACGTCTGAGCAGCTGAAGCAGCGCGTCGGGCGCGTTTAACGCAGGGAGAGAGACACAGCACTGATGATCACTCCTCTTAAACAGTTTATTGACGCCTAAATTAACTTAAAATGCAGAAATCTGCCGGCAGAATATGCAGTTTGGATTATTTAGATGAAAAACACCTACCAGCTGCCGCGGTGAACCGCGAGGAGGCGACCCGGCCAGAGGCTGCTGATGAAGGGATCCATACTGTCGGCGCCCCGCTGGTATGTGGGGGTCTGAGCGGCTCCGACAGAAAAAATATTGAAGGCAGGATAATAATCTGAATGAACTGACGGCACTGATTACGTTTTCAGGTGTATTTTCTCACTTAAACACATATTAAAACTACTTTATTCCCACTGATCACAGCAAATATAGCTGCAAGGCAGAGAAAGGATAGTGAAGCTCCGCCCAACGCGCGTCAGACACACTTTTGCACCGCGCAGCCAGAGCAGCAAAGCTGCTTCAGCCGCGCGTCAGAACTAACTGGTACAAGCAGCAAAAAGGAAGCAGCAGACGCGATTTTGCTGCGTGAACGTAGCATAACTGCACAAAGATTGCCACTCTGCTAGCAACGAGAATGCTTTTAACTGGGGGGTGTAGCAGTTCTCGCCGTAAAGCAACACTGACTCTCACGAGACTTCTGAGCCTGTGGGCGCGGGTCGGTGCTCCTGCAGTTGCAAGTGCAGTATTTCCCCCACAGACCACCAGGGCGGCCGAGAATACCTTTGTTCAACCTGAAATGACTCATTTAGTCATCCATAACGTTATGGAACACATTAATTAACTGAAAAATGTTGCATAGTGTGCCTTTAAGATATCAGGAATACATATTTAGTAAAATTAATAAATAACAAGCTTGCCATACCCTGCTGTTACCGTGATAATATTAAAGGTTTTTTTTTCTTGAATAGTAGTGGATCGATGGATCTATTTAGGTGAAATCTTCTGTCAGCAGGTGAAGATAAGGAATAAAAATGTTGTTCTAATATATAGAACCTGTTCACCATCTCATGGGTTCCTCCTCAGTTTGTAAATAGTGATCTTTTTATTAATGACCTTAAAGGGATAGTTCGGTATTTTTGACATGAATCTGTATGGCATCCCCATCACCAGTGTCATGCAATCACACTGACTTACCCCTGGCAGCGTCCTGTGAGCAGAGTTCTCGTCCAGCTTTGGTCAAGCCGAAAGTAGTCCGGCAGGTTTGCTAGACC